TGGAGTTCCTTCCAACATTGTTCCAATTCTTTCCTTAATTTACTAAAGGTGGGAGCGCTACATGCCCCCAAACTTTCTGGACCTCTCTGCCAGTTCTCAGCTTTCTTTCCCTGATACCCAGATATTGATTCCTGAAATTCAGCTCTTTCCCCTAGATTTATCAAATCTGTTTCTGGAATTCTGGGTGTAGAAGGAACATAAGGGGGCAGGAGGGCAAGAAGGGGGTCCCACTTCTGAGAATCTTCCTCCTTTTTGCATCTGAGTTTTCCTTTTTCCTTTATCTCAAGTGGAAACAATTTAACAGAACTCTCTCCTTTCCAGCAGCTGGGAAAATTAGACTCCTCCTGACTGAAAGGATCTTTGTTATTCACAAAAACATTTAATATTTGACATACCCAATCCTCATCTAATGTGTATTTTGGCCAAAACACTGCCAGTGGTAAAATACTCTGTCTAGGCCAAGTAAAATAGCAATACTTTATCATTTTCTGCTTACCCTTCCCTCCTGTACAAGAATTATCATTCTAATGTTTCAACATCCTCCCTAAAGGACTATCTAGAGGGATGTTTCCCAGAGAACTCCCTTTCTCCTTGTGTGACACCTTAGTTCCCTGATTTCCCATCCTACCTATCTTCCTGAGATATCTTGAGTATGAAAGACCCACCTCTTAACTAGAGGTTCAGATTTGCAAATCTAAGCCTGCACCCTCGGAGTGAAGCCCCACATTCCTGTACTTCCAAACTATACCTCACACTCTCAGTCTCAGACCCCTGTAGGATAATTCCCCCACTGACAAGGTAATATTTAACAGTCAAAATTTTCTTGCCTTGCCCCATATACGAACTTTCGCAGTGGCCATGGTTTCTCTGCCTATTTTCTGCTTTTCCATTCACCCTTCCTTTTCAATCTGTCTCAAGTCCCCACAGTCGGACTTTCCCGAAAGGGTACTCATCCTCAATCCATGAGACCATTAAAAATCAATGGGGCATGCCTCCCTACCTTTTGGGGATGATTGCCTTTCCACTTCAATGCCTGGTATGCTGGACAATACCCCGAGGAATTGTGAGAAATAACTCATTCAGACTCAAGAGGGATGAAGTTAAAATCTCAGTTTATTACACATTGCAACCTGGACACATTGTACCAAAGCAGGAGTTCACTATTTATCTCTAATCTCGGCCACAAAGTCCCTCCTCTGCTTCCTCATTGGCTGAGTACTCCAGAGCGTACAACTTTCCAGTATGCCTATTACACATCTAACCCTTGATATGTCTCTCCTCCTTCTACATACATACATCACCTGTTCAGAAAATGGCTTCTTAGCTCTGCCTGGAGGTGGAGAAGATAGTATTCATGAGCCTATTAAGCATGTGCACTGCTAAGCAAAGCTTAACCTTTGTCCTACTTACTGACTTCAAACCTCAAAACAAGATAAGTCCAGCTTTATCCCATTTTATTTAGTTACTTTTGGTGGTTGTTTCAATTTTATGGAACCTTTTGTTGTACTTAACTAACTTCTAACAGCAAAACAAGACCAGCTGTAGCCTCTTTTACTTAGTTACTTTTCTAGTGGTTGTTTCAGTTTTATGGAAACAAACATTTTCATTATGTCTCTCAGAAAGAAAGAAACAAAGAGAAAGCCAGAAGTGCCCAAAGCTCTAAGAAACTGAAGAGATTTGAAGAACCTAGAGCTCTCAGCTCAGCAAATCTGTCGCACCTCTCACACAGGTGCAAGAAGTAGATCTCCACCAATAAGGAAAGAATTCCATACCAATGGACTTTGAGACTTGGGTTACATAATTTTTCATATTTCAAGTAAATGAATATCTGGGGTGGGAGTACCCAGGTAACCAATTAGACTGAGAGATGCATCAAAGCTATCTGAGAGGTACCACCAGAAACCAGAATTGGTAGCCAAGGCGGTAGTATCAGATGATGGAGAAAGTTGCCACAGTCTAAAACCTTTCAAATATTCTTACCAGGCCATTTTAGTAAATCCCTTTGCTTTGTGTCTGTTGGTTGACTATTAAAGAAAAGAGTCCCTCCGGGGGCTTATGAGCTATAGTTTCAAGAGTACAGACTGCAGGATTCTTTGCACCTGAGGGAGCTGTCCCCCTGGGGTCCCAACCGGTGGGTACAGTTGGCAGTGATGGCCCCACTGTAGTGATGCTATGCTACAGTCTAAACATTCTATATGTCGTTCTCTTGCTCTGCTTTTTTAACTTTGCCTCAATTTACACAGATGTTCCCATATCCCTTTGAATTCCTCATATCTGCCATTTCTTAGAGCACAATGATATTCTACAACATTCATACACCATTTTTTTCAACCATTCCTGAATTAATGGAAACTCATTTTGCTTCTGACTCTTTGCTATCACAAAGAGGATTGTGATGAATATTTTGGCATAAAATGTAATATATAATATAGGCACATAGGAAAGGAGTAGGGAAAGTCATTCTAGGAGCTGGAAACCTAAAGACACAGAACTGTCAGTGAATGAGTGTGTGTGTGTGTGTGTGTGTGTTGGGATTAAAGGGGCTACAGTGACAAGATTGGCCTTAGGACAGCCAGAAGTGAATTTGGGGAGTAGTAGAAGACAAAGTTAGACAAATTCTATGGAAGCCTTTAAGGAGTTGGCTCCTTCCTATTGCACAACCACACATTTTTCCCAGAATCAGAATCAGGTGAATCCATTCTAGAGCCCTGAATGTAAACAATCAATCAATCAATGAGAATCTACGAAATCCCTTCTTCATGCAGGAGATGTTCTAGACACTGAGTATACACACACAAAAAAAATTACAGTATAATTCTTCCAAAGTAATTATCCAGTGTTTCGAGGAGCATTTAGACCAGGCAGGGACATTAGTAGATAAATAAAATAGTTTTACTATTGCAGGCACCAGAAACAGGCTATGTGGAGCACTCAACGATGCCAAGGTCATCCACTTCATCCTAAACCATTGCCCATCGTTCTGACCTTTGTCCTGCCAATGGACTTTGGTCACTCCGGTGGAGTGAGGCTGATGATTTTGTGCAACTCTGCCTCACTGAAATCCAAGTTACACACAAGTCAAAAGACATCACCATACCATTTTACCACTTTTATCTACCTCAAAGTACCATGGCAGCACCTAGTGACATCCACAGGTGTGGACACACTAGAAGCTGCAGTCACAATCCTGCACACAGGCAGCCCAAGCCACAGGGTCGCCTTCTCACTGAAAGCGGGCAGCGGGATTTGGCCCCCCGTCGATGTCTGAGCAGCCTTCTTAAGGACCGCACTGCTCACCTCCTGGTGTGAGGAAGGGGCTAGAAAAGGTGCCCTCAAAACTGTCCGCTTTGCCTGCTTCCTGCAGCAGGCAGGGAATCCTACCCTGTGGTCAAAACACCAAAAATAAAAGTACAAAAACTTTTCCAAAGATGATCCCACTCACCATCGGTACGTGGAATGTGCCCACACTTAAGAACAACATGAAACCTGGTACACCTGAAAGTGTTAAGGGTTGTTAAAGGGTCCCCTGAGCTCTTCTTTTTGAGTTGCCATATTTTCCAGAACCACTGGACCCAGAGCACGCAGGAGGCTCTGAATGCGTCGACGAAGCTCCCCAAGCTGGACTCCCTGTGTATCCTTGGGAGGCAAGCCAGGCTGCAGCCAGTCTGTGCCAGGTTGGGATGATGCTTGTGCATCTGGGGTCCTCACAGAGGAGCAGACCCGCCTATCTTTATAGTCTGGCAGTTCTCACGGGGAAAGAATGCAGCTTTTACCATCCCCTGGCTCCTCCGGCTGAGGTGCCTTTGTCCCACCTTTGCTGCCCATTTCCCTCCCCTATGTCCAGCCCCTTCCTGGTATCCTCTCCTCCCTTTGTCCTGCTACTGTAAAAGTGTAAACTTCTGCAAGGACTGGGAGCTCCTCGGGCTCCACGTGCATGTTCGTTTCTCCGCTAATAAACCTGGTTGTCACAGAAGTCTCCTGACGCTGTGATTGCCTGTTGACAGGACACATTTGTCTGCATGTTGTATCCCCTCCTCCAACTAGATTGTCAGCTCCTGGAGGGCAGGGGCTATCTTTTGCCTCTTTTTGTGTCCCCACGCTTAGCACAAAGTAAACACGTTGTCTGGCACGCAGTAGGTGCTTAATAAATGTGTACTGAATGCAATCTAGAGATGAGCAGGTGAGAGAGGAGTGCTGTTTGGGAATAAGGTGACGAGCGGAAGGCTTGGCCTTGGTGAGAAGGTCACTCATGGGTCAGCGTCTGGAGTAAAGCCTGGGTGTGGGGTGGCCCCAGCCCGCACACTTCGGGCTCTCCTCAGCTCCGCTCAGCCCGAGGTCCCTGGGGAGTGGGGGCACCCAGGATTGGAGCCTGGTCCACAAGAGGCCTCCGCAGGAGAAGGGGACGAAGGGGCAGTGGAGGCGCAACAGGGCCTGGCTAACGTTGAGACTGGGCTATAGCTCGGCTGGTTGTTAAATTTTCAGGGTCAGCATTTACCACCTCGGAATTGGGCCGTTGTTTGATTGTGTTATTGATTCCTAGATTTGAGAAAGCGATGGAGAAAACTAACGTGAAACTAACGTTGGGGAATTCGGACTACGTTTCCCAGGATGCATCTATGTGGCTACGCCGGGATCACGACCCCACGTTCCGCTGAGCCGTTTGAGGCAGATCTTCCCACAGCGAAGGGCGGGGCGGGGCCGGAGCTCGTGATCCCGGAAGTTGGGCCGGGCTTGTGGCGGAAGTGAGCGAGGGCAAGAAAAGGGGAGGGGACGGGAAGACAGGGACGCGCCCCCCACCCCCCTCCGCTCCGGCGGTGTGCGCGCGCACGCTTGCTCTGCTGCGTGAGTGCGTGCGTGCTCGCGTGCGTGCGCGGCCTTGGCGGCCGGGCGTCGGACTCGCCGGAGTCGGGCGTGTCCCGAGGCAGCCGAGGTCGCGTAGGGGCCGGGGCAGGTGCGGGAGGAGCGGGCCGGGCGGGGGCGTGTCCCGGGGCTGCGGAGAAGCCGGGCCTGAGGCGCGAGGAGAGCGGTGAGCCCCGGGAGATGGGGGGGTGAGGGGGGAAGAGAGGACACGTGACCCTGCGGAGAGGGCACGTGACCCTGCGGAGAGGGCACGTGACCCTCGGGGGCGGGAGCGGCCGGGCGGCGGTCGCACCTGCAGCCGTCCGCTCCCCGGCTTGGGGTCTTTTGGGGGAGTGGGGAGCGGGGGGAGGGCGGAAAATGAATGTTTGTGGCACTCCGGGGTCCTGCTCCCAGACCCTTCACCGACCTCACAAGAGCAGACTCTAAACAGCAACGAAGCGGCGGCTGATAATGACCGCTACGGCGTGTGAGGCGCCTACTGTGTGCCAGGCCCCGTGCTCGCCCGTGAGGTCTGGCCGTCGTGGGCGCGGACCGCACCCCGAGGCATTCTGGGAGAGCGAAGCCGAGCAGACCAGCGAAATGTGACAGTGACGCTCCTGCCACGCCGTTGTAGAGGGGCCCAGGAACGCAGTTGGGGATTCTGGGGGTGGGGTGTCCTGCCAGCTCGTCCACAGCGGCCCCGAGGGCTTTTTTCCTGACCTTTTTTGGGCCCCGTTGTCGGGCTCTAGGTACGTCTCTGTGTTGTTCTTGATCACTAAAAATCGTTTGGGAACCCTGATCCTTTCAGCTTGGGCCTTCCCAGTGTTGAGTCATCCGCAGATTTGTTCATCCCGTGGGGAAGCTCCTCCATGAAAGTCGTGGGTTAAAATATTGGACCTAATGAGCGAGCACCTCCCCGAGGCAGTCCCCTGAAGAGCCTGGCTTTGGCCCGTGTATACAAAGTATCCCCAAAGTCTTAGGGCGGTATTCAGCTGTTAAACCATTAAAGCTTAAAACGGCACTAAAATTTTTGGGACAGGTATAAGCATGCCACACTTGTGGTATGCGTATTCAACCAGTTTACGTAACTGTATTGCTGACAATTTTCATAATTACGTTGTTCTACCTACATGTCTCCAGATAGTCCAAGGAGAAACTTTAATAATAGCTGTCATTTGTAGAGTGCTTGAAGCTTTGCAAAGTGCTTTACATACATTATCTCATTGAATCCTTAGAACAATCCTATGAGGTAGGCACTATTCCTACCTCCATTTTACAAATGAGGAAACTGAGGCTGAGAAGTTAGGTAACTTGCCCAGGGTCGCACATCTAGTAAGTGACTAAGGCAGAATTCAAACTCAGGTCTTCCTGGCTCCCAAGACCAGTGTTGTGTCTACTTTGTGGCCACCAGTCTGCTTCAAGCCTTGCTGTTTATGGCATTCTTCTTATCTATCGAAAGAGTGTCCTGTCCAAAGGGAAGTAAGGTTACTCTGTCATGACAGCAGAGACTCTGTAAGTTGGAAGATACCTCGGAGGGCATTAGATCATAGATTTAGGATTGGAAGGGACCTCTGAGAGCGCCTGTACCTCTCAATGGAGCCCTTCCACACATCTCTGACAAATGATCCGACATCATCCTCCACCTGAAAATGTCCAGTACACGGGAACCTGCTGCCTGGAAAGGCAGCCCTGTTCTGCTTCTGGGGCCAAGCAGAACAAACCAGATATTCGTTAACCCTTCCAGAACTGATTACCTCATACCTCTATCATGTGTAGCCTAAATCTTCTCTTCTGAAGCTTAGCATCCCCAGTTCTGTCAACTGATGTTCACATCCCCTGCTTGCTCTCCTCCAGAAACCTCAGCCTTTCAGGATACTTTCTAAAAAATATATATATATATATATATATAGAGCGCCCAGAGTGGAACACAGTATTCCAGATATAATCTGACCAGGTCTGAGTACAATAGGTCTCGTTCTCGCCCTCCTTTTTCTTGGATGTCATACCTCTCCCAAAGAAGAATGAAATCTTACTCTCCGCTTGGTGGTGATATGGCCATATTTCACTGGTGGCGCTTACAGTCCACTAAGACCCCAGAGTTTCATTTCAGACAAACTGCCTACTGTCCCCCCATGCCTTGCCAGCATTTCTTTTCAAGCTGATTCCTTTGAACCCAAGTGTAAGACTTTATATTTATTCTTGTTAAATTTCATAACCCAACATTTGGCCCAAGTCGTTGGTTACCAGTGCTAAGCTCAGAAGTCTGCGTCAAGCCATTATGATGTGCATTTTTTTCCCCACTGTCTCTAAAACCTCCCTATAAAAAGTCCTTTGTAAACCCCAGTAAATTCAGCTTGTTTTGAATTTTTGTTCTCCCAACATTAATCTTTTATTTTTGTATCCATCATTTGGTACCTCCTGTTTTTTCTTCTGTCTCCTGAACCCAAGTTGGTTGATGAATTCCCTGGTCATCCACATTGGTCTTCCTAGCCAGCTTCCCCTTTTCTTCTCCATCAGAATCGTTTCCCTTTTGTGTTTTCAGGATTTCATTCTTTCTCATCCCCTATTTCTTCCTAGCTGGACTTTTCTGTAGAATTTTAGTCCATGGAATCCTACCTTTCCTCTTTCACAAATTCCAAGATTAACGGGTAATTTTTCTCCAAGGTTTCCATTACTTCCACTTGAGCAACACATTTCTTTATATTTGTGAGAATCATGTCCAGAAATGAATTCTATTGGTTCTTTCACTTTTGAAGGATGAAATCATTATTAAAGCAAGTCAATAAATCATTAGCCATTCTGCTTTTAGCAGAGACAGCCCCAGCAAGCATCTGGATAATTGAAATCCCCCCTCACTACCCTCTGTCAGGCCTCTTTGCCAGGTTTGTGAGTTCATGTGCGTCTCCACATTGGTCTGTTTCAGATAGGTGTACCTTTTCTTCCTTATCTGGTCCTCCTTTTTTTTTTTTCTTCTTAAATGTAGCCCTTCCCCCACACAGTGTAATTGGTTTTCCCTTAGACTCTCTTACCACCAGCTCTGTTCTTAGACCTTCATTCAGGCTGGTCTGATCTGTGACTTACCCACGGTTTCCACTCTATGTCTGGACTGAATTTTGGGGGGACGTTTGAGGGTGGTCAGCCTCCAGCTGTTTGTTTCTCACAGCCCTCAGGCATAGAAGCTATTCCCCAGGGGAATCTTCCACATCATACATGAAGGACCATTTGTGTTGTCTCTGAAGTGCTTGCCTGGGGAGGGGGGGCCTGTGCCCCCATCCTACATGTGAAAGAGGGAGTTAGTTGCTCGTGGTCTCACTCTCGCTCTCTTTGTCTCTCTTGCTCTCTCTCTTTCTTTCTCTTTCCTTCCTTCCCTTTTCTCTCCCCCCCATTACTTCTCTCACTCTGTCTTCTTTCTCTCCCTCCCTCCCCCTGATGTATCCTGTCTCATACTTCAGTTTTCCTCTTCCATATCTGCTGTGTGCAGAATCTAACATCGGAGCTAGTTTGAGCAGGAGGTGAGTCTGCTTTGTTGTTTCTGTTTTGGGAAGTGGGGGGAGCCCAGTCTCTTTCTTGTCCCTACGTCTAGCCTGCCCCATAAGCTCTTCCCTGAAAACATTTGTGCCATCCTGGACTTAAGCCAGTGGGTCTTTGCCTCAACTTTCACCTATCAAAATACATTCATGTCTTTTACTTCATTTCGTCTTGGTGAGAACCCATTACGCAAGTGGGGCAGTGGCTGTATCATCATTTTATATATGCAAAGCAAAAATCAAGTGATTTGTTTAGCCCCTGTGGACAAAGCTAGGGCTAGAATACAGGCCTCTTTGATAATCGCTAACATTTGTATAGCACTTTAAGGATTGCAAAGCACTTCACAATGATTGTCTCATCTCATCCTCACTGCTACATAATGAAGTAGATGCTTTTGTTACCCCTGTTTTGCAGATGAGAAAACAAAGGTTGACAGAGGGTAAGTGACTTGTTCAGGGTCATACAGCTAGTGAATATCTGAGACACAGTATGAACTCAGGTCTTCCTGACTCCAAGTCCAGCATTCTCTCTACTTCACCTGGCTGCCTTACTCCTAGTTATTTGCCTTTTTCTATAATGTTCCACTACAGCTCTGTTAATGAGGCTTTAAAAAAAAACAAAACACCGGATGTTTCCACATTCTGTTAGCCCCACGGTGTTATTTTTTGTTTATAGATTTTTATGGATTTTTTATTGTTTTCACATAACCTAGATTTCTCCCAGTGTTCCTTCTTTCTTCTCCTAGAAAGCCATCCATTATAACAAAGGTTTTTTTTTTTTAAAGAGAAAAAATGATTTAGCAATATTGGCCAACATATTAAAACAAATCTACCAGCATATACAATGTTCTACTCTCAAGTCTCCAGCTTCTGCAAAGCAGCAGGGGAGGTGTCCGTTCTATCTCTTCTTTGGGACCAAGGTTGAACATTTCATGGCAACATTCAGTTTCTGTTATTTGGTGTCTTTTGTTCTTTCCATTTACATCATGGAGGTCATTGTGTCTCTTGTTTTCCTGAATCTGTCGACTTCACTTTGCATCATTCACGTAAGTCTGTCCAGCCTTCTCTGCATTCATTGGACTCATCATTTCTGGTGACCCAGGCATATTCTGTTACTTTCCTGTCCTGCAGTTGGTTGAATTCTGCCCAGTCCTTGGGTTTCTCCTTTGTTTCCAGTTCTTGGCTACCACAGAAAGTGCTGCTAGGAATATTCTGGTGTATACAAGACCTCCTTGGGCTATATGCCCAGCAGTGGAATCTCTGGATCACATGATGTGGCCCTTTTTGATCGCTTTATTTGCGTAATTCCAAATTACTTTCCAGAATGGTTGTAATAATTCACGGTTGCCCCAGCGTTAAGTCAGTTTGACTGTCTGTTCCCAAACCTCTAACGCTTACTGTTCCTGTCATCTCAGTTATCTTACTCCCACCTTCTTCCTCCCTCATTCCTAAGGAGGTCAGGCTTTCCCATGATCCAACCTTTTCCCTCTCCAGTTAGTGCGTGATGCAATTTTTGTTGTAGCTAAACCAGGACCAGACCTCTGTGCTCGTTTGTCGTATGTCCTAAAGCAGAGACTCTCACTCCTTAGGTAGTCCTTGTTGCAGTCATTGTGTCTGTTGTTTTCTTGGTTCTGCTTTCTTGATTTCCATCGTAGAAGTCTTCCCATGTTTCTCTAAATTCTTCATGCTCACTTTTTCTTAAAACACTCTAACATTCCATTACATTTATGTAGCATAATTTGTGTCGCCATTCCCCAGTCAGTGAACATCTGCTTTGTTTCCAGTTCTTTGCTACCACAAAAGATGCTGCCGTGAATATTTTGGTGTACATGGAACTGCCTTTCTATCTCTGACCTCGTTGGGGCATGTGTTTGGCAGTGGAATCTCTGAGTGAAATAGTATGGACAGTTTAGTCATTTGCTTTCTAGAATGGTTGAGTGAGTCGTGTATCAATGTGTCTGTTTTTCTAAAGCTCTCTACGTGGACCCTTCCCAACTTCTGTCGTCTTTGTTCGTTTTCAGCGTGCTCAGAGCAACCTCCGAGCTGAGACCATTGTCCTTTGATCTAGTTGTGACCTAGTCCAGTATCCTGGCCACAGTGGCTGGAGCCCTCCTTACGTCCTGTCTGACCAACAGTGGCCCCAGAAGTAAGTGTTCTGATGCTCTTTTCTCTCAACTGAGCCTCCTACTCTGTGGGCCACACGTTTGCCAAGGACTGTCAAACAGCTTTTTCCAAAGAATTCAGCAAACTCATTTTTTCATATATCATGTCAGCTAATGACAGGACTGAAAATTTTGTTTCATTAATAGGTAGTTGAGGCACAAAGAGACTGGTTTGCACACTCAGCATCACACAGAACTTAGGGTGAAGCCCGGAAATTCAACTGACGTGTCCCAATTCTGCAGCCAGAGTTCAGTCCCGTGGTACCTATTACATGACCATAGGGGCAGGTTTGGGGCCCTGAGGGCTGTGGTCCGTGACCCTTCCCTCTAATTCTAGGCTGCCTTTTGATCTCTGACTCTGGAGGGATCCTGGGTCTCTCACATCTTGGCCAGAGTGTTGTCATTTCACCCTGATGAATTTGGAACCGCCAGGCACGGACTGGTCTCCTTCATGACTTCTTTCTTTTCCTTCAGTGCTGGGTTCTCCAGATTCTGCCTTTCCCCAGGAAAGGGGAGTAGAGGAGGAGGGAATGACTTCTGGGCTCCTGATGGCCAGGTCCCTGGTGAGTTATGGTTTCTTCTCTCTCCTGACATTCTGCTTTGTTCCTCTTTCCCTTGTCCCCCGGCCTGTCCAGGGATGACCGAAGCCTTGCATGGTCTCTTTTTAATAACTCTGCCTACGTGGCCTTCATAGAGCTCATGGATATTAGGGTGAGAAGGGAGCAGAGAGTCCAACCCTCTTATCTGACATAACAGTAAACTGAGATCCAGGGAAGTAAAATGTTTCATTCAGAGTCACCTGTTATAAAGACTGTGTAAGAACTGAGGTCTCCACGCTCCTTAGCCTGGGCCTCTCTCCTGGGGAACATTTGCTTGTTCATTGAACCACCTGTATACTGTGCTGAGCCAAGTGCTGTGAAATAAACCAAGTCCTTATTGTTGAGGAGAAAAACTACATACCAGGAAAAAAATAATAAGTATTTTTTCCAAATGGAAAGTCAGATCACTAAGGCTATAATGGAGTGGCCAGTACGTCAAGGATTTGTGATTTGGTTGCTGATGAGGGTTTTCTGTGTTTATGTAGACCCCAGCCCCTTTATACCTTGGTAGCTAAGCCTCAGAGTGGTTACGCAGCTGGTATGTGTCAGAGGTCCCACGTGGTGCATGTCCCCAGTCCCTCCTCCTGCCTCTGGACGCAATGGAAGGAATTTGCACACAACTGTTCTGACCAGATACATGACAGATCTGTTTTACTCAGCCTCAGCAGGGCGCTGTCCCTTTATTTCTGAGACCATCTGATGGGGATGGGGTGGGGTGGCTTCCTTTTTTCTATTTTCTTTATCTCATAACCTCTCAGCACAGTCTGCCATTCTGTCCTCCTTTCCCCCAGACTCTTAACAGAGATCCTCCCATAACTACGTCAGAGTCCTCTTCTGTGTGATCCCCCCCATACGCCTCTCGTGTCCTCCCTCCCAAACTTCCTCGTATCTCACTACTTTGTATTTCTCAAGGCAGCCCCCCCACATGCACACCAGGTCCCGTTCCATGCCGTCATCCCCAGCAGATTTCCCGTCTCATCCCCAGTCTCTCCCTTCTCTTCAGCCTCTCTCTATTGGCTGCTTCCCTCCTCCCTCCAAATGTGTCTCTCCATCCCCACAAAGCCCCCTCGTGGCTCAACGCCAGGAGAAGGCCGTCTACAACAGGTGCCTCCGCTTCCTTTCAGCCAAAGCTGCTGCCTCTAGAGTTATCAGCGATCTCTTCCTTGCCACATCCGGCAGCCTTTTCTCAGTCCTCGTCCTTCTTGACCTCTCTGCAGCCTTTGACGCTGGTGACCAGCCACCTTCTCCTTGAGTCTCTGCTGGTTCTTCTCCTCCCTCTCTGGCCACTCCTCTGTTTCCTTTGCTGGCTCTTACTCCATGTCACCCTCACGGTGGGGGTTCCTTGAGGGTGTGTCCCTCTTCTCCTTCTGTACTCTTTCACTTGGTAATCTTGTCAACTGCCATGGCTTCAGCCTGGACCACCAGTCTCACATCTCTAATTGCCTTTTATACACCTTGAACTGACTGTCCCATGGATCCCTTAAATTCAGCATGTCCAAAGCTAACTCATTATGTCTTTCTCACAAACCCATTTCTAAACTTCCCTGTTACGGTCCAGGGCACCAGGCTCCCAGCCTCCATGCCATCCTGGGATCCTCTCACCTCCTGCCTCCCCCTATCTGAACACTTGTCAAGTCCTATGAAGTCTGCCGTCGGAATGTCTCTTATATGTGGCCTCCTCTTTGCTCCGATGCTGACGCTGACTGGCTCCTGATCACGTATCACATCACAGCTGGACCATTGCCGTGGTCTGCCTGCTACAAATCTCTCCTCACTCCGGTCCATCTTCCATTCAGCTGTCAAAGTGATGATCCTAAAACCCGAGTCTGGCCTATCATCCCCCTCTTTATTAAATTCCCTATTATTCCATCCCCAGGATCAAATAAAAGACCTTCTCTTTGGCCCTCAGAGCCTTTCGTAACCTGACCCCTTCTTACCTTTTCTGTTTTCATACGCCTTCCTGTCTTCCACAATATTTCTGTGATACAGCAAGATTGACCTTCTGGGCGTTCCCCAAATGAGCCCTTCCAGCTCTTGGCTCCCAGCATGTTCATGCCTGCTCGTCTCCACCACCTGCTTCCTTCCAGGCTCAGTGACGTGCCCCCTACCCCACGAGGCCTTTCCTGATCCTCCTCACTCTTACTGCCTTCCCTCTGAGAGTGTCCCAGGTTTATCCTGCGTGTAGTTTGCTTGGCCATGGTTGTTTCATGTTGTCTCCCCCACCCCATTAGGTCATGAGCTTCTTGAGCACAAGGACTGTTCTTGCCTCTCTGTTTACTCATCATCTCTCCCACTTGAACATAAACTTCTTGCAAATAGGGATTGTCTGCTTGTATTTGTGTGCCTAGCACCTCGCACAGCACCCAGCACATACAGCGTGCATGGTAAATGCCTGTTGATTGAGTGGTTAATAAGCAGTCCCCACCCAGTCCTCCTCTGACACCTCTTTGTAGCATGGAGTTGATTTTCAAGTTCTCAGATATAGTCTAGAACCACTTTGGGAGTAGGCCTGCAATAGATGAGGTCTACCTTCCAAGGCCTAGCCTGGCTCAGCATAGGGAAGGCTGTCACCCAGGAGCTGGCCTCTTGGACATCAAGGCTTTACTTGCCATCCAATTAAGGCAAGGCAGAAGTCAGATGATTCCTGGCTTGCTTATGATGGAAACAAACTGAGATTCTTATGTGAATAACCAATTAAAAGGGGGGGGGGGGGCAGGAATCCAAGTTTTTTCCTTTTTATTTTCTCATTCTTCCCCCCCCTTTTTAATCAGTTATTATTCATTCTCTCATTAATTGTTAACCAGTCAGAGTTGATTTCCATCTATCAGGAACATCCACTCTTCCAAGGGTATATAAGCATGAGTGGCCTCCATGATTGCTTTGGTTTATGAGAGAAAACCAAATGACTGTAATTTTATTAATTATCTGCTAGCCATAGTTAATAAAAATTGATTATTAATTACCCAGAAATTGCATCTCTCAGACTTTTAATGTGTCACAGTGTTTTGATCTTTAAACATTAACTTATTTGTTGAGATTTCCAACTTGAGATCACACAATTTAAGTCGGAAGGGACCTCAGAGCCCGTCTAATCCCTCCCCCCGAACCCCAAGAGGAATCCCCTTATTTCAGACCTGACATGCGGCCTTCCAGCCTCTGCGTAATGCCCCCGGTAACAACATACTTTTGACTTTTTGTGGCAGCTGTTCGGACTTTTGGACGGATGTGAGGAGATTTTTCCTTCTGTCGGGTTCCAGTCTGCCTCTGCAGCTCCTCCCCTCCAGTCCTGAGTTTTCCTCTGCTGCAGAAGAGTTCATGTCTCATCCCTCTTCCACAAGGGCTGTTCAGATTCTGGCTAGCTAGTGTATCCCACCTTTCTCCAGGCTAAACATTCCTAGGTTCTTTAAAGGAACCTCCCATCGCAGGACCTCAAGCCCACGCTGCCTCCTTGTCATCTTCCTCGAGAAGCTTTCCAGGTTTCTCAGTGCCCAGAATGCAACGTGGTCCTGCCATGGGCTCCTCCCAGAGTGCAGTCCCACCAGACCCTCATAATCACCAGCATTGACGTTTGCATAGCACATTAAGCTTGACTAAGTGCTCTACAGATGTTATTTCATTTTATATTCACAGCTACCTGAGAGGGAGGTGATATTGTGATTCCCATCTTACAGATAAAAAAACTGAGGCAAGCAAATTGTTCAGGGTCACACAGCTAGGTAGTCTCTTGAGGCTGGATTTGAACTCAGGTCTTGCTGATGCCTAGTCCTGGTGAAGCCACCTCACTTCCCTGGCACACAGCTTCTGTTTGGAGAAGCACACAAAGGAAAATTCATTTTCTGGTGTGTCCAAAGTTAACAAAAAACATCATTAAATGGCATGCTTGGTCCTCTTGCCTTGCAGTGCTTGTGATCAGTGTTTGCCACCATAGAGGACCATAGGACTGCCATAGAGATGACAATCTCTAAGCTTCAGGAGGGCAGGGGTATTTGGTTTTTGTCTTTGCATCCCCAGTACCAAGCTCAATGCCTGGCACCTAATAGTGGCTTATTAAATGCTTATTGAACTGAACCTGGCCCAGACACTTACAGATGGGACAGGGAGCTCAGGCCAGAGTGGAGTACAAGGAGAGTGGGCTAGAAGCCAATGAGGAAATGATGCCATGATTTAAACCATCCCAGGCTATACTGTGATGCAGAAACCCTTCTAGGACTGGTGGACAGAAGTGCCCACATGGTATACTAACATCTCTCACCAGGAAGTTAGGCTCAGATTAGAGCAGGTGGAAGCAGACTTAGAGAAGAGGGAGGGGTTCCATGTGGATCCTCATGGGCCGGGAGAAGACCTTGAGGAGACCCCTCTGCCCTGAGTCCACCTGCTTCTAAAGCCAGGATACCTGCAGGGTGGCTCAAGTACCTGGAGGGTTGTATCCCTCAGAAGACAAGACTCAGGGCAGACGTGATACATGTCTCCAGGTACGTGTAGGAGGTGGAAAAGGAGTCCCACCTTTCTTCTCTTCCCAGCCAGCCCGTCCATCATGGCGCTGCCAGAGCGACCCTCCCCTGTGCTCCACATCCTGCCCCAGTATTCTGCTGCATCCACATCATGTGCTGTTCCTTTACTTGATAATTCATGCCAGAAGCTGGCATTCCCTAATCTTCCAATCTTACCTCTTTTCTCACTTGCAAACTAGACCACATGCCATCCTCCTGAGCATCCCCCACTGCTTTGCCTGTTATGGCTTGATTCATGCTGTTTTCCAGGGCTCTGATGCCCTTCCTGCTCTCATTTTTGTCTCTTGAAATTTCACCTGTTCTGTAAGGTCCAGTAAAATGTAGTCACCATGAAAGCTTAGTCTCACTAACTGCTCTTCTGATCACCCTTCTGTAGTGGGTGGATTTTTTTCCCCCTCTCCTCCTGCAACCAGCAGAATACATCTGTCCTCTGGTTACCTGTAACAATGGAAGCAGTTATTTGGAAGAGAGAACAAGGTGATGTTCATTAGAGCTAGTGACACCTTACTATATATAGCATATTAATTTGCTTTGTGGCCGTCCTCTTTATTCTGCCTAAAATGTGTCAGTTGGTAGTGGACCTTGCTTAGCGTGTGTATCTGTTTAGAAAGGGCTTTTGATAAAGTGATTGCTGCTGTTACTGCTGACTCTGTGACGGCAGAATTTTGTACAAGGTGAGGCCTCTAGAAACACTAGAGATGGTACATACACCACTCCTAGAACCAGTCCCTCATATTCCACATCTTGGATGGTTCCTGAGTGAGCAGAAGTGTTGGCTCTTTCAGGAATTGGTGACATTCCAGGATGTGGCCGTGGACTTCACCCAGGAGCAGTGGGGGCTCTTGGAGCCGGCCCAGAAGGACCTGTACAGGGAGGTGATGCTGGAGAACTATCAGAACTTGGTCTCCCTTGGTAAGGACAACTTGCCCCTGTGAGCTGGCGTCTGTCCGTTGGGCTAGCCTTGTGTCCTTACTTGTAAAGGCTGTGGCCTGGCTGAAGTGCCAAGCTGGGTTTTACCTTAGTGTTTAGGGATAGTTGTGAATGATGATGGTGATGGGGACCATGGCTGACATTTGTATTGTACTTCAGGGGTTAACTTATGGTACCTTATTTGATCCTACCCCAAACCTGTGAGGTCATTACTGCAGTCATCCCCTGCAATCATCCAGAGGAGGAAACTTCAGTTTCAGCGAGTCTGCAGATCAGCACGCCTTTATAAAAGGGCTTCCATGTGCCAAGCATGAGAGACTGAGACAGAGAGACAGACACTTGATGCCTTTCCATTGGCCCCATACTTTAAGAGTGTCTGAGCAACAGTTTGAACACAGGTCTCCCCTGACTTCCCCAAGCATGGATTAAGCACCCCTGAGATGTAAAGCATTGTGCTAGGTGCTGAGAATACAGATACATGAGTGAAAGAGTTCCTGTCTTTGAGGAGCTTATGTTCCAAGAGCAGCACGATGGCCGTGGCACCATGCTGCCTCTCTCTGCCCTTCTAGTAATGGGGGATCTCAGTTTACCTGGCCCCAAGGAAGGGCTTTGATTTATGCAAGTGGAAATCCCAGTTTTGGGTTACTTCCCCTGTTGGGTTCCCTCAGGGCAGAGATTTTCCCCTGAAATCCCAGTACAGACCCCTAGAGGCATGAAAGATTTCCCTTCCTCTTGGCAGGATCAAAATAAACTGATTTTCTTTGCTTCTACAGCCACTCAGATTCCTCATCTGTAAAATGAAGGGGTGAGACCACATGGCCCCATACAGGCCCTTCCTACAGGCCCCTGCAGCTGGAAATCTCTGATCCCATGGTGTCAGTGATCTTACCTCCATATTGCCTGGGTGCAGCACAGTATAGAGCACCCTTCCCAGTCCTGGGGTCCTTGGTGTTAATCTCTGTCTGCCCCTTTTTTGTTAAAGAAAAAGGGGCTGCAGTGAATTTTGAGATGGGTTTCTATTCTCAGCACTTTGCCATTTCTTTCCCTACCAGGAGGACTGCCAGCCCGCAAACCTCATGTGATCTCCCAGTTGGAGAGAGGAGAAGCACCATGGATAGCAGAGAGAGAAGCCCTGGGAGGCGTTTGTCAAGGTGAGTGAGTGAGTGAAACCAGGCTGATGGCAGTCGTTGCCAACAGGAACTCAGTCAGTAAAGTTGGAGTCCCTTTGAAATGGTAGGTGGGGAACCTTCCGCAAAGGCCCCAGCACCAGGAGGCAGTTGAATTTGGTCTAATTACTGATCATCTGTTGTCTGAAGGATCTCCTGTAGGCCCTCTTGAGCTGGAACAAATATGTAACGCTTCTCCTCTTGTCTTCCTTTTGTTCCTTTTATCTGATGTTCACCCTTCTGGGCTCTGGATCTCAGCCTTTCTCCCCTCCTCACCCCTCCATGTTTTTCTCCTCTTCATTTTGGAGGTGTTAAACAAATACTGTATGCTGGGACCTCTGTAAGATACTAGAGTTTGTTGTTGTTCGGTTGTGCCTGATTCTTCATGACCCCATTTGGAGTTTCCTTGGCAGAGATACTAGAGTGGTTTGTCATTTCTTTCTCTAGCTCATTTTAGTGATGAGGAAACTGGGGCAAACAGGGTTAAATGACTTGCCCAGGATCACACAGCTAATAAGTGTCCGAGGCCAGATTTGAACTCCTGTCTTCCTGACTCCAGGCCAGGCGCTCTATCCACTGCGCCACCTCGCTGCCCCCACTAGAGCTTAAGGTACTAAAACGGATGCCTTCCTGCCCAGAAGAAGCTAACACTGCCTCCTTTATGTCTCCCTCTTCATGTATTCCATTCCTTCTGTCTTCAGACATAGCTGGGGCTGGCCTGTATTTTAAACAAACAAGCTTTGTTCACCTCTTTTCCCCCCAACACTCACACACTTGCTCTTAGACTACCACTTCCCTCAGCTCCTCAAGGATCTGTGACCTCCACTGAAGGGGTATTCCCTGTACGCTGGGTTTGGTCATTAGTTGCCCAGCATTTGGTTGGAGAAGCCTGCATTGAGAGCAGAGCCACCATTCCAAGGCAGCCTGTTCAACTCTGAGGCAACTCCATTTGTTAGGGACTCTGTCCTCCCGTTGAGCCTGAATTACTCCATTTGCAACCTTGACATCTTCTTTGGGGCCAAATTAAGTGGGTCTCTTCCACATGATAACAGCTGTCATGGCCCATGGAGTCTTCTTCTGATTTCACCTTTCTCTTCTTTCAAGCTGCCGTTGTAGGGCGTGATCTTCAGGCCCTCTTCTGGATGTTTGACAGCGCGTCAGCATCAACAAAAACAAAACAAAATTGTCCTGTTTGGAACTTATGGACCATTCGTGTAACACTTTGTTGGAAGCATTTTCACACCCCTTTCAGCCCTTGCCCCGTGAAGTTCATCCACCACCAAGCCCATCCCACTGTGCCCTTTGGACCTTCCTCCTGCTCCCCAACTCAGTCCTCCTCTTAACTTCCACCATCCACAGATTCTACAGAACATGTTCCTTATGCCTCCTCACCTGAAGGAAACAGGCTCTTTCTTGACAACATGGCATTCCTCCCAGTCCTCTCTCTGGATAGCCACGGCTCTTTGACCACAGCCCAACCCGCAGGGCCAGCTCACCACTGCCACCCTCAGCCCCTTCCTCTGTCACAAGCATTCAGTGGCACAGCCTTTCTCAAGGTCTGTTTCGTGTGTGCCCCACTCCTGTCTTTGTTCCAGGGGTTCAGGATCCAGCCCATAGTCTTCCTGTCTTCTTTGTCAGTACCTTCCTTGGAGATGACATAGTTGTGTAGATGCCTTCTTGGTAGTAGGCGCCCTCATTTCATCAGCCTCCTTAGTTGCCATCCTAGTGTCCAGCCACAGATGTGTGTGCACACACACCAAGGCCACTCTGGGCCCTTATTTAACTTTGAAGCTGTTGACCAATTCCTGTGTTCCCAGTCTGACTCTGCCTCCCTGGCTTTGCCTCCCTCCATAACTAGTCATGACCCCAAAGAGGTCATGTACATGATGGGGACTGAGGGTCAAACAAAGATGAGAGTCAGGATGGACTGTTGACCTGTTGGACCATGGCCTCACTCGCCAGTCCACCCCTGAGCCCTCAGGGTCTGCGGTCGTGGGCATCTCCCAGCCCCCAACCATTCTGTCCTCCTCACCTCTCTCCTCAAGCATGAGGTCCAAGGCCTCCATGGTCACCTAGGCTCAGAGCTTCCTTGCTGATGTCCTGGGTTCCCCGTCCAGTGGGGTTGACATTAGCATCTCCCAGCTCCCTGCTTCCTGCTTCTCATCCTCCTGGGCCTTGGAGCTGCAGGGGAAGTTGTACCAGCTCACATTCTGTCTCCTGCATGAGGCATCTGATTGAAGTATTACAATGTATGCGTGATTAGTTGTAAGGCTCAGTAAATAGTGAGAATTTCCATTGAAGATTAATATGTTGAAACAAAATTTAGCAGTAAAATTTTTTAAATAAAATAATTTTAAAATCTAAAATTGATACAGGTAGATATTTTGATCTGATTTTAAAATCTAATTTGTTGATCCAAATTTTTGAAGAGTAAAGGGAAAAGTACAGAGCCAAAGGGCATAATCCCAGGTTAATAATCCATTATTCACTAGCCTTTGAGAATTAAACAATTCAGCCAGTTACAAACACATGTAGCTGTCCAGCTATTGTCCAATTAAATATTTCTTCAGCATGTTCATGGAGGAAGCTTTTTTAAATTGATAAGGAGCCAAACATAAAACCTGTGTGTCATCTGACTGTAGTTTCTACGGTTAGCTCATTTTTCCTTTCTGACAATTAGACATTTCTTCTTGGAAAGCTGGTAACTCATGTGGTGGAAAATGGATTTATGCCACAGTCATATCCAATGTGTTTAACAATATAAATATTAAAATCCTATCATGAAAAATAATATAGAGAAGAATAAAGGGTTATCATTTTCACAGTTATAGATGGGGCTAAAATTCTTAACTAGCCATGATACTGAGTGAATTGTAAAAGGCAGAGTAGATGATTAAGTTTATATAAAAATAAACTTTTGCATAAATGAATGTAATTCAGCTACAATAGAAAAGATAAGTACTGGGCGAAAATGTTTACATTAAATTTCCGTAGTAAAAGCCTTACTTATCTAATGTCAAATCTAAGATTAAGAGCCATTTGCCAATAGTGTAATGATCAAGGGACATGATAGAGAAGTTTCAAAAGATGAGACTTCAGAATAGCAAATAAAGACAGGAGCAAAATTATGACAGCTCTGAGTGTATATCACTTTACATGTGTCTGATTGGCAAAGATGGGAAAATTCAGTATTGGTGGAATGTGCTTGTGGGACTGCTTTGGAATAAATAAAATGTGAAATTATATGAGAAACATGGACTTATTCATGCCCTTTGACCCAGCACTGCTACTCGTAAATTTATATTTTGTGAAGATGTCTTCAGAGACTTTGTCCACAATGTCTCCCCATCCAGAAGTCCACAGACATTATTACTAGAAGGAATGGAGTCGCTTTCTCATGGTCTCATAGTGAATCCATGCAGGGTTTAGGGATCAGCAGCATTTTTAAATGTTCACAAATCATCAGCGCTATCATGTGTTCTTGAAGGTTGTCCATGTTTGATTTCAGGTCTCATTTTGACAATCAGACATATTCACAAATGACAGCACTCCAAGGACTGAGATAAATTCTTCCTTTACCCTACAAAATAAACCCTTAATCCCAGGCAGCTAGGAACTGTGCAGCAGAGCTCACTGGAAGAAGGAAAGAAGAAAACAGGCACTTAAAACTTAAAAGCACTTTACAGTATCTCATGGGATCCTCATAATAACCCTCGGAAGGAAGTGCTGTTATTTATTGCCATTTTACAGATGAGGAAACTGAGGCAGACAGGTTTAATGACTTTCCTAGGGTGACACAGTGAGTGTCTGAGGTCAAATTTGAACTCGGGTCTTCCTGACTCCAGGCCCAGTGTTCTAGCACTGTGCCACCTGGTTTCTTAGTAGTGTTCATTTTACCCTTTTCCCAGTTGATCATACACTCAGAACTGGAAGGAGCCTCAGACACCGTGCATCCGGTCCTCTCATTTACGGATAAAGGAAACAAAGGCCTAAGAAAGCCATGGGCCTTGCTCAGGGGCCCATGGGGAGGAAGCATCGTAGCTAAGTGGGATTTGAACATAGGTCATCTGACTCCAGAGCTGGTGCTCTTGATTAAGCAAACTGTCTAGAACTTGACCCTACACCAACTTCCTTTCTTGTCACACAAAGAAATACAGATATTCATGCTTATTTGTTTATTCCAGATTCTGTTATTTGGAAAACCAGATTTGAAACAAAGGAGTCGGTTTCAAAGCAAGGCATTTCTATGGGAGAATCGTCCAAGGAGAGAAGTTCAAAAAATGCCATCTGGGATTCCCGGTTACCAGAAGATTGGGATTCCGGGGTCACTTTGGAGAGGCAGAATCAGGAGAGATCGTCCCAACAAGTTTTGGTCAGTCACAGAATAATTTCTAATGAGTTGAGTGTTCCTGAGTGTAACACTTCTTTGAGAAGCTTCAGTGTAGGATCAATTCTTGTTCCAAAACAAAATGTTACTATAGGAGAACAGCAAAGTCAGTCTGATTCCCTTGGAAAGACCTTCATACAGTCCTCAGATGTTATTAAGCATAATAAGATTGCCTTAGGGAAGAAACTTTGTAAGTTTAAATCTAAGAAGCCTCTCAATTATCATTCAGACCTTTTTCAGTATCGGAGAATACATCCTGGAGAGAAACACCTTAAATGTAGTCACTGTGGGAAAGCCTTTGGGAGCAGATCATGCCTTATCGCACATCAGAGAATTCATACTGGAGAGAAGCCCTTTGAATGTACTGAATGTGGGAAAGCCTACAGGCGTAAGGCACATCTTACTCAACACCAAAGAATCCATACTGGAGAGAAACCTTATAAGTGTAATGACTGTGGAAAAGCTTTCAGCATTGATTCATACCTCATTAAACACCAGAGAATCCATACTGGAGAGAAGCCCTATAAATGTAGTCAGTGTGGGAAAGTTTTTAGCCAGAAAGGTCACCTTAATCAACACCAGAGGATTCATACTGGAGAGAAACCCTATGAATGCAACGAATGTGGGAAAACCTTTGGTCAGTCTAGACACCTTAGTGAACATAAACGAACTCATAGTAAAGAGAAACCCTTTGAATGTAATGAATGTGGGAAACTCTTTAGACAGCTGAGAAACCTTAGTGAACATCAGAGGATTCACACTGGAGAAAAACCCTATAAATGTAATGAATGTGGGAAGGCCTTCAGCAACAATTATGTCCTTATTCAGCATGAAAGAATTCATACAGGAGAGAAACCCTATACATGTAGTGAATGTGGGAAGGCCTTCAGTCGTGGGACGTACCTTATGAAACATAAGAGAATTCACACCGGAGAGATACCCTATAAATGTAATGACTGTGGGAAAGAATTCACTGACAAAGCATCCTTTATTTACCACCAGAGAATTCATACTGGAGAGAAGCTCCACAAGTGTATTGAATGTGGGAAAACTTTCAGCCAAAAAGGAAGCCTCAAAATGCATAAGATGATTCATACTGGAGAGAAACCATTTGAATGTCGTGAATGTGGGAAAACTTTCAGAAACGGGGGTCACCTGAGTGTACATAAAAGAATTCATACTGGAGAGAAACCATTTGTGTGCAATGAATGTGGAAAAGCTTTCAGAGATAGTGGAGGTCTTAGTGCTCATCAGGAAAAACATGGAGAGAAAAGGTATACGTGTACTGACTGTGGAAAAACCTTCAGAAATAAGGGATACTTTCGTGTACATCAGAAAACTCATACTCAGGAGAGACACTATAATTGTAATGAATGTGGGAAACACTTTAATCTAAGGGGATCCTTTATTATTCATCAGAGAGTCCACACTGGAGAGAAGCCCTATAAATGTAACATATGTGGGAAAGCTTTTAGTTACAATACATCCTACAGTAAACATCTGAGAACTCACACAGGAGAGAAGCCCTATAAATGTAATGAATGTGGAAAAGCTTTTACTCAGAGGGACTACCTCATTGAACATGAGAGAATTCATACTGGAGAGAAACCTTTCAAATGTAATGAATGTGGAAGGGCCTTCAGGCAGAAGCAAACATACAATGCACATAAGAAAATTCATACTAGAGAGAAACCCTTTAAATATAATTAATTGGGAAAGCATTCAACTAGAGGGAACATGGTATAGCAGGTCAGTGATTTTTATACCAGTGAGAATCCCCATAAATACAATGAATTTGAGAAGGTAACCATCATAAACCATAGAGGAAGGTAATTCAGAAAGTGCACACTTGAGAAAAGCCCTATGAACATAATAAACATTGGCCAGATTTTAGGTGTGTATTTCATTTGTCAGATAATTCATGCAGGTTAACTGTGGCTTTAATAGTATGGAGAATACTTCAGATAATCTGGTCAAAAATGTTATGTTTTGTTCCAAGGTACATTATTTGGGGATTTGAGACAGAAAAGTAGCTATAATAAAACATAAAACTTTCTTGTCCCTTTCTGCTGGAATACACATTTTTAACTGACATTATCTAGCAGTTCAATTGCATAAGAGCAGGTTTTGAAAGAACACATATACCACAAGACCACAATTTTAGAAAACCCACTAAAATATTAGCAAAAAGGAGAAACCTTGGTAGCTTAGAGCAAAGAAATAAAACACTGCAGATAAATGACAGTAAGATGACTTTCCTGCCATAGCAGGAGGATGCATGATGGTGAGAGTACCCATCTTCATGTGTGTCTTACGTGTACATTAATTACTCTCGGGCTCAAATGGGTCCACTTTACGTGTGCTTTGTTGCCCTGGCCAGTAGCCAGAAAAGAATCATAGAATGTTAAAACTGGAAGATAACTTGAAGATCACCTGGTTTAACTACCTCTGGTACTTAAAGATGGGACATGGAGAGTAAGAAGAGGTATTTTGGTTCTTCTTCTGGCTGCGAGGGAAAGTGAAGTTTCTAGCAAATGCAGGTGAGACTCAATGGTGGTGAGTGGCTGGCTGACTCTCCAGCAACCCCACATTCTTCCCCTGCATGTGCGCACCTCAGCTTCACTTTTGATACGTTTGGAACAATATACAAGTTCTGGGAAAGGTGAGATTTGGTGGAGAAGAAAATCTAGGTACAATTCCTTTGTGTATTTTTTGTGTAATTTGTTTTTGTGTTTTGTGCCGTGTTATATTGATGATGGCAAGGGATCTGAGGACCCCTAAATTAGAACCAGATGAGCCAAAGTGTTGTGTTCCCAAGGTAAACCCCGGGGTGAGACAGGAGCCAACATTACACAAACATTCCTTATTTCAGGTATAACTTCTATTCAGGGTCCTGGCTCAAAACTTTGACCTGCTGGATGATTCCACAGTTCAGATAACAGAATCTCATTAATTTGAGGCGGGTTACCATTGATATGCTCAGCTAACTTGGATCCTTTCAGAAAATCCCACATGGGAACCCTCCCCAAATATGTCATTGAAATAACCTTTCAAGATCACAGTCCATAGAAGACAGTGAGGCCATGTGTTCCATCCTAAATATGTAGCAGTGTTTGCTCTGAGATATCCTTAGCTGGAGTAGAAAGCTCCACTTTAGATTAGATGCCCAAATGACGTGAATGTCATTGGGTTAGCTCAACGTCAGAAGAAGGGAACCCTGTGTCATTTGCTCTTGCCCTTTTACACAGTGGATAGCAGACTGTACTCATTTTGTCAGTGTGTGTCCATTCACATGCGCTGAAGACTATTCGCTAAACATTACTGAACAGTACTTAGTTAATTTCCAGGCAGCCCACTGAGGCCATCAAGATGGGAGAAGAGGTTGAGGCTCAGTACCCCAGCTCGTCTATGTAATCTAGTTAATCCTCCCTTTCAGTCTAGCCAGTAAAGATGCTGCATCCGCAGCCCCTCCTTCCGTTCCTCCAAATCACATTTGTTAACTAGAAAACAGCATGAAGGGGTGTAAGAAGGAGAGATCTGTCTCCAGGCAGTACTAGTAGCTCCACTTTAGTTGATGGACTAGGAAACCAAAGAGTGCTCTCAGGCAGGTGTCTGGGTGATGGTCTGTGGAATACTGAAGTTCACCAAGGGTTTCAGGCAATCAGTCCTAGGGCTCTCCCTTTTTCCCCAGAGTTGAATGTGTGCCTACTACTATGAATCATTGACATCTCACAGTTTAAGCTCTTGTCCCTTCTTGTCTAGATTATTACAATAGCATCCTAATCAGTCTTGCTACCTAAAGGCTCTCCACATTCTACTCCATCCTCCACATAGTTATCAAAATTATTTTCCTTAAACACCAATCTGTTACTCTTCTGAAATTCCACTGACTCCCTGTTGCCTTGGATAAAATAAACTCTAGCTTTAAAAACCTTTTACAGCCTGGCCCCAACCTGTCTTTCCAGCCTTGCTCTCCCATTACCTGCAATCCAGGCAAATTGGCCTCTATTCTTCACATGTGACATAACACTCCATCTTGTATTTATTTATATGTATTTTCTTTATATTTGTTCTATATATATTTATATATGTGCTTGTCTCATTAGAATGTGACCTCTTTAAGAGTGGGCATTGCTTCGTGATTTTTTATTTATTTGTATTCCTGCCTGGAACAGTGCCTGGCATGTGGTAGATGTGTAAATGCTTATTGATTGATGGATCTCCCATTCTCTTCCAGGTCTTAGTCCAGAAATATGGTATGGATCATTGGGCCAGTCTGATCAGTTGGGCTGGGCTGAAGGACCAGGCCCTTTCTCTCTGTGGTATAACATTTCTCCTCCCTTGTAATTTGGGAGTATTGAGACACAGTGGTTGAGTGATTCTGTGGGCATCCCCACCCCCAGCAACTCAAGTGTCCCATATTTCTAAGCCCTACATGATCATAATCTGATAGCAAAGCAGTGTGCTCTCATTAAATGAGCTGTGGGTTTAGAGTAAGAAGAGACCTGAGCTTGAATTACAGGTTCTCACGTTGACTAGGTTTATGATCTTAAAAAGTACACTTAATCCCTCCTATGTTTATTAGTTGATGTTTTCTTCATTTATTCTCCTTAGTTTATTCCTGGAGTTTGTGGTAGACTAGAGGAAATCTTGGCTTAGTCTAGTCTGACATGTGCCCTAGATTTTGACTGGAAATTGGAAAAAGCAGATTATAAAGGGGCAATAGGATCCTAAGGGATTGGAGATGTTCAAAAACAAAATTCTAAAGACACAAAGGAAAACCATTCCAATGAGGAGAAAAAATGAGAGACTGAAGTGGATGCGTAGAATCCTTACTGACTGATTTAATTTTTTTAAAAGACCAGCATAAAGCAGATTGTAACATAGGTATTAGGATTAACAAAAGCCTGGATCTATTAAAATATATATTTGCAGGAATGCTAAAAGCTCTGAATAAGCTGTGGCTGATAAGGGAAGTCAAGGACAACCAAAAATGATTCTTTTAGTTACATTAGGAGTAAAAGAAGGATAAAAATGTTGGGTATGTTTGCTTGCAATATGATAACAGACAACAAAGCATGGCTGTTGTTCTCATTTTGCGTTTTCTCATCCAAAGAGAATGAACTTTGCAGGGGAAATGACTACTCTATTGGTGCTTGGGCTTGGTAAGAGGATAGTAAGGTAGCACCTAGTTGTCCTTGATGGAGTCAGCCCTCCTGGTGCAGGTGACCTAGATTCTTAGGTCCAGAAAGAATTGGCAGATAAGATTGCTGAGTCACTAATATTTGAACAATCATGGGAAATGGAAGCAGTAACATGCGATTAGGAAAGGGTAAATGACCTGATTTTCAAAAAGGAAGAGAACAGTCTGCAAACTTAGGCCAGCGAGCTCGACTGTGATTCCTGGGAAAATCCGAGATAGACCATTAAGGAGAGGTCGTTGGTGATCCAGGAAGGGAAGCAGTGATTATAAAAAGCTAGCAACAGGATATGCCAGACTCATCTCATTTCCCTTTTTTGACAGGGTTGTTAAGCTAGTAGATGACGGTAATGCTGAGGATATAGTTTACCTGGGGTTTTAGCAAAACATTTGACAGAAGTGTCTTGTACTGTTCTCAGGAAGGAGCTGGAACAGGGGGTTAGATGACCGTACCATTATCAACGAATGTCATCAGCGCCTTGGATAGTGGCCTGTTCACCAGAGGGTGCAGAGCTGGTGAAGAGACAAGCAGTGGGTGACAGGACATGAAAGGATCTGGACTTAAGTTGGATTTCTGTAGGGATAGTGGCCTGTAAGCTCAGTGGGAGTCAGCAATGTGGTATGGCAGTCAAAAAACCAAATGTGTCTTCAGCCGTATTGAGAGGCTTCACTCCCAGGAATAGGGAAGTTTTAATCCTGCTATGCTTTGCTCTTGTCAGACTTCATCTGATGTCGTCAGACTTCATCTGATGTCGTCAGACATCATGCAGCGTGTTCAGTTCTGGTTAACACCATATGAATGAGAACATTAATAAGCCTGGAGAGCATCCAGAAGAGGGCAGCCAGGATGGAGAAGGGCCCTAGGGTCTGTGTCATGTGGGGTCCAGGGGAAGGAATGAGGCATGTGAGCCCAGGCAAGAGAAGACTTAAAAGGGGGCATTAAAACTAGTCACCTTGTTCTGCTGCTGCTTTATGCTAGTTGCTTAGATTATTAATTAAAAATTCATTAAGATTGTTCAATAACTTTTTTTTGGCCAGCGTTATTTATCTAGTTTCAGAATCAAGCCAGCCGTTACCTTAAAGAACTAGACACCCCACCATCTCTTCTCTGTAGTTAGCAAATCTTACCTATTACTAGGATTGCTTACTTGTTGAAGATCATGCAAGAACCTACTTAACCCTGCTTTTATTGTGTGGTTTTTTTCTCCTTTTTTTTTGGTAAGCAGTTCATTGACTCATCTGCGTTCTTTCTTCCCTTGAAATGAATGGGTTTGATCAAGTCAGCTTCTCACTTTGGCAGTTTGGATTTTGGGAAATCCTTCATTTAACTCATGAGCAGACAACCATACTGGTTGTTGAACCTTCTCTTATCTTGGTTGTGTCTCTCCTTTCTCAGCCTAAGTTTGGCTACTCTGTGATTTGTTTTTGTTAAAATTAAACTGAAAAATAAAGGTGTTACTCTGGTTGCAAATTTGTTTTCTGTTTTGTCTTCTAATTTATTGTTTTGTTCCTTACATAAGGTCTTCAGACACAGATTTAACTAGAGAGGAAAATGCAATGAATTGATTTCCCTTTATAAACTTCGTTGCACTACCAAGGTTAACTTTACCTCAGAGGTTTCATGGGACCAGAGTTTGAGTACTTCAGAACCTCCATTTTAAGGAAAGTTTCCAGACCAGCTACCCATGGTCTTCTTTCTGCACCAGCCTCCACTCCTGGTTCTTTGCACTTTCTCTACCATGTAACAGCCTTCTCACCCTGGAAGTGCCCTTGGCCCTTATGCCCCCTCTTCTGACTTTGTTTCTTCCCAGAAACTCCATTTTAAGGAAAGTGCCCATGCCAGCTGTGTTTCCATAGGCTTGACTTTAGGATTCCCCACACCATTTCTTCTGTCTACAATCCTCCTCACTACTTTTCAGCTTTTTTATGTGTATTATCACCTCATTGGAATGTAAGCCCCTTGAGGGACTTTGTATTTGTGTTCCTACTGCTTAGCAGCAAGCCTGGCACATAGAAAGCACTTAATAAATGCTTGATTACTTGACTATAGCCACCGGAATCTACCTTTGAGGCTAATTCCAACTCTATTTACAAAGGAGGAAACAGGCCAGAGAAGGGAAGTAATTTGCCCTAGGTCACAGAATAAGTGGCAGAGCTGAGATTCAAACCCACATCCTGAGTCCAAAGCCAGTGATCCTTTCACCATATCATGCTGCAGTATTGATAGGTAATGGTTTACATTTTATTAACAGCTAGCTGTTGGCTGTTCTTTACTTCAACTATTTACTTTTTAGGCCTCTCTCTGTGGACTTTTTTTTTAAAAATGGTGTTCTGGGGGCTTTTTTCTATTTTGTTACCTCATTGTTTGGGAAGATGTAGCATGTAATATTTCCACATTTTTGTCTTTGCTAAAAGCTTTGTGCCAAAGCATATGATTTTAGGACTTCCAGTGAAGATAGCTGCCTGAAGGGCAATCATATTTCCCAGATTCCCACATACCTGATCCAGCAAAAAAACTGAAATTTGAAGCAGACTGAATATTGATCAAGAAATACAATGAGAGCTCAGATTCTTATAATCTAGCCAGTGCTTAGATTCTTACAATCTAGCCAGAGGCTCAGATTTTTATAATCTAGCCACTGGTCAGATTCCTAAGATCTGGCCTGCTTGCATTAGAATACAAATGCTTAGGTTCCTTAAGAGTCTGGCCAATATGGCTGATGTTCTAATAAACCTTGTCTTTGGCTGAAAGAAGGCTTGGGTTGAATTCATTTGGGCAGGACCCATGTGTTGTGATTTTGGGGGGTCTCAGCACCTCGGAACCCCTAAACCTCATCATTTTAATGGCGCATACAAGGAAGCTGCCTAACCCAAAGTTCTTCTCCAGCCAAGACTGGAAGGTATGTAAGCCTCTCCCCCTTCTTTCTTGCCCTGCAGTTGGGGTCGCTCTTCAAGTACCCAGGAAGGAAGGCAAAGCCGGAGGTGCTTTTCGGTCAGACAGTTATGAGGCTGACTCACACTCGGCCTGATGCTCTCAAGCTCTCAGTGCACTGGTTGGGTTCGAGGCCATGGAACTGGGTACACCTTCTGCAGCATAGGGGACAAGGACAGATGCCCCATCTGGAAGTATGTGCCCAATTCTGTCAGTTCTCTCAGTGCTAGGGAATTGAGAAAACTGCAGTTGCTTTTTGGTTTCCTGAGGCTTACTTACTCACTCCCCTCTACACCCCTGAATCCTCCTTCATGGAGGTTACAGGGAAAAGTTAGAACAACTAAAAACATTTTAGCAGATTCTGGAAGTTATGTGATTGATCATTAAGGAGTTTTGAAACTCCTCCTTACAACCCTGGTCACTCCTTTCTGCCACTCACTTCCCTTGAGTCAAGTGGGTATCTGTTAATCCCTCTCATAGGAGAAGAGAGTTGCATCTCCCCCACCACCACCGAATTCGCCCTCTACAGCATGGGCACCACTAGCAATGGCCTTGGGCCCTGGGGCAACTTTTGCCTGGAAGCATCATCCAGGTTCAGTACATCCTGCTTAAGGTAAAGAAGCTAGCCTCTGAACATGGGTAAGCATGCTCTTTTAAAGTTGCTGTGTTGGAAAGCCTAGAAAATATCATCCCAGGAAAATCCCTGGAACAGCTGAACCAGAAGAAAAATGGGGTGCAGCAGTCTGGTAGCCCAGGTAGCTTGAGGGATTAATGGGAAAGGCCCCTCTTGCCCTGAGGGAAGGGGAGCAGTACGAAACGGGAGACATCCCAGCAAACTAGTGGAAAGCTCCACCTCAGCATACCAGGAGGAGATCCTGAAGCCCAAGTGGTGGAGCTGGCAAACACCAACACCTGGACCCTGAGTTCCTCATTGAGGGCAAGGGAACTGGTGGAAACCAGCTCAGAAAACCACCAGGTACCTCAGCATTCTACAGCAACTGGCTCTCCCAGTGCCTCAGCAAAACTAAGGGAAGCAGTGCTCCAAGGGGCCCCAGGTGGATAAATACCCTACAACATCCATCTGAAAAGAGCTGAAGAAAGCAAAAGGGAGGAAAGGCCTGGGTGAGCAGGAAATCTCCAGGAACCACATTACCCAATCCTACCCCTAGAGTTCCAGTGTTACTGATTCTCAACCAACATCAGGTAAGCTGCCAGAACCCTACAGCCTCCAACAGCATTGGAGGCCCCAGCACACAAAGCCCTAGACTCCGAACAGAAGAAGCTTGGGTCAGTGCCCTCTGCTCCCCAGCAGGAAAGCTCAATCTCTTTAAAGGCCAGGAAATAAGCAAACACCATGAGCAAAAAAAAACAAACAAACATGATAGATTCTTATTATGGGAAGAGTGAAGATCAAGGCAGAAGTTCTGAAGAGGACAACATTGTCAGCAAACCCACATCTGGAACCTCAAAAGGGAATATGAAATAGTCTGAAGCCCAAAAAGCCTTCTTAGAAGAGCTCAAGAAGGATTTTAAAAGTCAAATGAGAGAGGTAGAAGAAAAAATTGGGAAAAGAAATGAGAGGTATGCAAGAGAGAGTCAATAGCTTGGAAAAGGAAGGACAAAAATTAACTGTAGAAAACAAGTCCTTAAAAAATACAATTGGCCAAATGGGGAAGGAGGTACAAAATCTAATAGAAGAAAACAATTTGTTAAAAATTAGAATTGGACAAATGGAAGCTAAGGACTCTGTGAGAGAGCAAGAATCAGTCACACAGAAACAAAATAAAGAAAAAATAGATGAAAATATAAAATACCTCATGGGTAAAACAGCTGACCTGGAAAATCGATCCAGGAGAGACAATTTTAAAATTATTGGTCTACTTGAAAATCACAATGAGAAAAAAAGAAAAAGAGCCTGGACAGTGTCTTTCAGGAACTCATAAAAGAAAACTGCCCTGAGATCCTAGAACCAGAGGGTAAAATAGCCATAGAAAGAATCCACCAATCACCTCCTGAAAGAGATCCCAAATTGAAAACACCAAGGAATATAGTAGCCAAATTCCAAAATTATCAGGTCAAAGAGAAAGTACTGCAAGCAGCGAGAAAGACACAATTTAAATATCATGGAACCAGAGTCAGGATTACACAGGACCTTGCAGCTTCTACATTAAAAGACCATAGGTCATGGAACATGATATTCCATAAGGCAAAGGAGCTTGGATTACAACCAACGATCAACTACCCAGCCAAAATGAGCATGATCTTTCAGGGGAGGAGATGGATATTCAACGAAATAGGGGATTTCCAAACCTTCCTGATAAAAAGACCAGAGCTCAACAGAAAATTTGATCTTCAAATACAAGACTCAAGAGAGACATAAAAAGGTAAACAGGACAGAAAGAAACAACATGTTTATTAATAAAGGCAAACTGTTTACATTCCTACAAGGAAAAATGACACTTGTAACCCTTGAGAACTGTATTGTCATTACACCATGTTAAAGGAGTATACATAAAGGGAGTATTAATTGACTTTGAAGTAATGATGAAAAAAAAATCCAATCAAGTGGGTTAAATGGATCCAAGTAAGTGGATTAAGCTGATCTAACTAAGAAAATGTACTGAGAGAAAAGGAAAGGAGGAGGCAGACAAAGGTAAATTACATTACAGGAAAAGGCACAAAAACCTATTACAAGCAGAGGGAAAGAAGGGAGGGAGATGAGCATTGTTTGAACCTTACTGTCATAAGATTTGGCTCAAGAAGGGAATAACATAATCACTTAGGTACTAATATTGATAAACTTAACCCTTTCTCAGCAATAAGGATCTAAGACATCTCCAAAGGCCTCATGATGGCAAATGCTATCCACATCCAAAGAAAGAGCTGTGGAGTTTGGGGGCAGCTAGGTGGTGTAGTGGATAGACCACCGGCCCTGGATTCAGGAGGACCTGAGTTCAAATCCGGCCTCAGACACATAACACTTCACTAGCACTGTGACCCTGGGCAAGTCACTTAACCCCATTGCCTAGCCAAAAAAAAAAAAAGAACTATGGAGTTTGAATGCAGATCGAAGCATACTATTTGGTATTTTTTTCTTCTGTTGTGTTTTGTTTCCTCTTTCTGGTGGTTCCTCCTATTGGTTCCAATTCTTCCTTACAACATGACTAATGTAAAAATATGTTTAATAGGAATATATATGTATAGCCCGTATCAGATTGCTGCCATCTTGGGGAGGGAGGGGGAGAAAATTTAAAACTCAAAAACTTATGGAAGTGATTGTTGATAAATCAAAATAAATTTAAAAAATAAAGTTGTGTTAACTGTTAATGATGAGATGCTGATTCTCTGTGTAAAGTAATTTGGAAGTGCGTTTAACAAAATTAAAGTCACCTGATTGGTAATGGGTTTGTTTCAAGTTTCAAATTGAACTTTTTGTATCAGTTATGTCAAGCAACTTTTCATAATTTGGTTACCGCTAAAATAATTTGGCTATTGTTGGTTATTGTTTTAATGTGTAAACTTGCCAAAAC